TTTTTGTTGTTCTCCCGCCCTGGCGGGGGGTCGGGCTAGAAGATCTACTAGGTCCCTTCCGACCCTTAATCTATGAATCTATGAAACATCCCAGCATGGCCTTGTTTTCTAGGTGCCTACCCAAATAGGAAGGTCTTACAGCACCTCTAGATAACATTGAGGCTCAAGCTCTGGTGGCCATCAATGAGGAGGGAGTTCCAGGGCTGAGGAGCAATTGCAGAGAACCAAATCCCATGCTATTCACTGTATGTGAAGCAAAATTTGGCACGCTAACAGTACTACTAGAAAGCTGCTCTCTGCTGACCTTGGGGATCATGAAGATGGGACATAAAAGAGAAGGCAGACACTTAGGTACATAGGACCCAGATTGTTTAGGGCCTTATAGATCTAAATAAGCACCTTGAATTGCACCCCCAAAATTACTGGGACCTAATGCAAATTCTGGAGCTCTGTGGTCCTGACAACTCATCCCCATCAGAAAGCGGCCTGTCATTGTCTGGAAGCTGCAGTTGGTGCAGACAGTCTTCAAGGGAAGACTTAGGTAGAGCACATTGCAATAGTTTGGCCTTAAGGTGACAAAGGCATGGATGATGGTGGCCAGATTGGAGTGAAAGAAAGGGTTGCAGACTTCTCACTTAGATGGGGTTGGAAAAAGCCACTGCCACTACCTGAGACCTAAGTACAGAGGATCCTTGGGGACAGCCTCAGAGCTAAGTGACAAAAGAAAAAAGTGAACCCCACCAATGATGGGTGTCTCAGTCCCCTCCATGTCTGCCCAGCACTTTCTCTGTCTTATCTAGATTCAGACAGAAGCTTCAAAGACTTTAATGTTGTTTTTTTACATTGGAAGGTCAAGGCTACAGCCCTAGTAGGTGTAAATGGTATTTTCCAGATAAAATCAGAAGCTATTTACTGACTTCCACTGGTTGAGGATCTGGCCTTCAGACTTTTCCTGCCCTGGAAGACTGGGCAATTCTAAAACCAATTAAAGGATTTCATAATAGACAAAAGAATGAGAGCACAGCAAACCGGGACAAAGGAATTCTAAATCACAAGGAATTCTAAATCACGCTCTCAGTTTTTGTTAGCACCTACTTATCTCAGAGTAAACACATTTCGTTACTCTCATGCCTTCAACATGGGGGCATGGGGAGGGGGAAAAGAGAAATCCATAGTTCCCTCTGAAGCCTCCAACCCATTCTCCAGCCAACCCACAAAAGGCCAGACATGATATTACCGGTACTTCAAGGTTATTAAAAAAAATAATTAAATCAAAGTAAAGACTTGTTCAGGCCTTTTTTGAAGAAGCCAAGGAAACCACATACTCAAGATTTTATCATCGCTTACAAGCCACCTTTAAAGACATTGTGGGAATTTCTGTGTCCACGTTGCTCCTTGCAATACCATTTAGCTCCAGGGTCTGCTCTAGTCTGACACGCCTTATGTGTTAAAATTTCAATGCCGTGTCACTAACTTTCAAAGTTGGTGGCATTTTTCATTTGTTTGATCCCAAGCACAGGAAAAACATCTCACAAAAAGCCACACAGTGCACATCTACACGAGACAATTAATGCATATTGGACTAATTGTACTGCGCATTGGCATGTCACGCAAAAAGCATGCTAATGCTCCAATGTGCAGTAGACTTAGTCCAATGTGTATTAAGCATCACAAAAAGTGTTTATCTGTGCAAATGCACAGTAGCAGCAATTACAGCAAATTAAGTTATTACAGGTGCTAAACTTAATGCACCGTAATTACGGCCTATTAATGAATGCGTAGACATGCCCACAGAGATTATTTCCATACTCCTGGGAATAATAGGATTTAAATATAATATTTTGATGTATGCATCACTTTGCATCTTCAAAAGGCTTGCAGACAGCGTCCCCTGTCCATGTTAAGGTAAAACCAACTTGTAACCATCCAGAACTTCCCACTGTCACAATGCCATGAGTCACAGCCAAAGGGGCTTCACAGTAAAAGAACCCAGGTACTTCTGCATCAAACCTACAAGACACTACCACTTAAAGCAATAATACAGCAACCAGGAACATTGCAGTGCAAGGCAGTGGAACAGAATTTCTAGTGGTTCATTTTGCTTTGCAGATGGGAAAACTGAGGCATGGGGAAATGGTGTTTGATATTCTTTCTGCTGAAATCTAAGCATAAATGTGCTGTAATTACTCCATCTGATGCATAAATGTGCTGTGAAGCAGCAAATGCCTCTCCAGGATGTACCAGGATCTGCCATCTTCTGATGGTGAAGATTGCAACCTACTGGTAATGAAAACACAACAACATTGTTAAGGCCTTGTCCTGCTCTCACAGGCGCAGCAAAAAATCCCCTTTGCTCCAGGGTTAGCAGGATCAGGCCTTAAAAGAATAAATCCTTTGGGCAGGGACTGTCTTTTTGTTCTGCATTTGTACAGAGTCTGGCAAAATGTGTTCCTGGCAATAACAAAAGGAAAGAAGGTGATGAATGCATGCTTACCATTCAAGTTGAAACAAGCCATTGTTTAGAAGAGGAGATATGGACATAGGGATGTTGAAGCTGACCTCTAGTGAAAAAGATCCACAGTCAAAAGAAGGCCTAAGCCACATACTCCAAGTCGCATTGTGGACCTGATCCAAAACCTTTCGAGTCAGTGGGAGCTCTAAGAACATAGCGCCACAATCAGGTTACCCTTTCCTCAGAGACCACACCCAAAATTAAGGGCCTTCATGAGGCGTCTTGAATGATACCTGTATTTAGGACATAACTACCTATAGCAATGAGTAAACTGGGCATGTGTAAGAAGCTGCACAAAGAAAGAGGCAGCCGAATGGATCGTGTACTATTTCTTTGAGACAGTCTCCCCGCCAGCTGATCATTTATTAATTCAGTCGGGGTTCTACTAAAATAAATGACTGGCACAACTCTCCAAACTCAGAGCTTTGATACCCACCCACCCCGCTGCGGAAGCCTGAAGAAAGCATGACGGTCCACTTGTTCATTGAATTACCTTGCTGCAGAAACGCAGTGTCCTATGCCCCGCCCTAACCCGCTATTTGCCCAACGCCACATGCGTTACATGGTACGAGGCATAAGTTAAACTGCTGCCTTTCATTCATGTCCCTTTGTTTCTAAGAACTCTTGGTGACATGATCACAAACTGCTTTCTAGTGGTGGGATTTGGAATAGTGGAAGAATAGCAGCCTTGGACAACATGACAGGAAGCAGACAGGATATATTGTCATCAGTAAATACCTGCAGAGTCGTATGAAACCATTTCAGTATTTAACATGCTCCCCCTGAATAGTGCCGGTCCAACAGCCACTAGCAACAGCTGCCAGATTGCATCACCTGGGCATTTAAATGCTTTTCTAGAAACCCCCAAAAGCTCCACATCTGACCACTCCCGGGCTCCTTGTGATTATGGAGACGGCCAAAACCCACCCCAGGGTCCCGCGCGTCCCAATCCCACTGGCTGGTGGAGACCTCAAACGCATCCCTTCTAACCGGTGCTGAAGGGGCATCATCGCAGCACATTTCTTCCAGACAAAGAAAGCGACAAGGCCTTCGGCACCCCACCCGCGATGACTGGCGAGCCCTGCCTGCGTGCTCCTGGGGCTGCTTCCCAGGATCGGTGCCCTTTATAAACGAGGGCGCTGATCCTGGCGCCGCACTAACCCAGCCCGGCCAGACTGCCAGCCTGCGCCCGGTCTGCCCTTACTGCAAGCCCGACACCCCTAGCTCTTGCCTCCTGATGCCCCCCACATGCCTCTTCTTGCCAGAGGAGAGAGAGTCACTGCCTCTGGGGGGCAGCTGTCCGCCTGGGGAGCATCTCCAGTGCCTTCCTCCATATCCCCTCCAGACTGGCACCAGGGCAAGCGGGGTGCGGCGGGTGTCGCTTCCCCAATGTGGCATTCAGAGCCGGGGGTGGGGAGGACCGTGTCACCTCCCGATGGCAGAGATGCCGAGGAGGAGCCGGGCTGCGGGCAGCGCCCTCTCGTGAGCGCCCGGCCCGGCCCGGCCCGGCCGCACAAAGCCCCGCTGCCCCGAGCCCTGCAAACGGGCACCCGCCTGCCCCGGGCAGGACATCCATGGACAGATAACCCTCCTCTCCCCGCTTATCATCTTTTCGGGGCGACCCCACGCAATACGCTCCCCGGCGGGACGCGGCACTCACACCACGAGCCGGGAGATGATCCACGACACCATGGCGCTGCGGGCCCCGCTCTGCCGCGGGC